TCTGAACTCCACCAGCACACTCCACACAGGCTCCCCGGGAATTCTCCCGAACGCTACGGGCTCCTCTAGCAACCAGCAGCCGGAAATATCCCTCCTCCTCCTCCCCCTCCCCCTCCTCCTCCTCCTCTTCCCAACCAATGGGAACTCTCCAGGAATCCCCGCGAGAGCTTAACTGGAACTCAACGGGAACTCCGAGAGAACTCGCTGGCGTCACCTCTCAACCACTACTTCTGGCAAAAATGCCATGCGTCATCCCGACTCGGCTGTGGCCCTCAACACCACCCTCTCCACCCCCAAAACTGTTGTGGCTGCATCACTGTAGTATATTGATTTTAAGTCCTTTGAGTATATACCAAGGAGTGAGATAACTAGGTCAATGGTGCTTCCATTCCAAGTTTTGCAGTCCCACCAGCAACGTATGAATGAATCCTCACCAGCATTTGCTGTTCCTTGTGTTCTTGATAATTGCCATTCTGACTGGAGTGTGATGAAATCTCAGTACAGTTTTAGTTTTCATTTCTCTGATTGCTAGAGATGTTGAACATTTTGTTATATATTTATTGACCATTCATATTTCTTCTTCTGTGAAGTGCCTGTTCAGTTCCTTTGCTCGTTTATTGACTGAGTTATTTGAGGTCTTTTTGGTGTTGCAGGTGGCAGATTTGTACAGGAGAAAAATCAGGGTGTGTTTTTAGGTCATTTCCACTAGAGGGCACTAGACCCTGAACTTGTGTCCTCAGTCACCTCTGGAGCCACCTGTCTTCTCCACCTCTCACTGTCCCTCGTTCCACCCCTAGACGGAGGATTCTGAAGTTTTTCAGCACACATAGCAAGATCCAGAAGAACTTGGACTTCCTCAGAATTCTGAAATAGACTGAACTCTCCATATGGATAGAGCTCCGACCTGCCTTGAATGGGGGTCCTAACACCTTGATGGATTCAAGGGCTCTGGAGACAGACACACTTGAGTCACAGGTTTCTACAGGTAGGTGTGGAGGTGCCAGGAATCTACAGCAGCAAACAAAACCTATCATTCTCATCATGCTGCATCCATGGTCATCATGCTGCGTCCATGGTTACCACGTGACCTGCCCATTGTGCTTCCTGACAACTTCCACACATTACAGACCTTATTTAATAGGTTAGTTGAAACAGAAGTCCAGCTTCCCCAAAGTTGGAAGCCTCTCTTGGCTTCCAGACCAACACTACCAACACCTTGGGTAGGAGTTGCTGACAATCAGTTTTAGGCATCAAGACACTCATTACAAAAAGTGTTTTTATGTGTAAGGCCTTCTCCCTTCTACCCAGGAACCACCAGGAACACACCTACAGTGAACAGACTGTTTAATGTATTCATTGCAACCAGAGGCCACACATCACCAACAGTGAGCATCTCAGTGACAGGGTTTTAGAACTTAGAGGACTGGAGTTTTGGTTGGAGGAGGGAGCGGTCCAGTTGCAGGGCCCTGCCCAAGACTAGCTGTCAGGTAGCAGGGATAATTCTGCTTGGGGATCTTCCTGAATTCACCTGCCAGATGAGGGTGAAGCTAAAGTGGCAATTGGTCAAACAGCAACAGTCACTCAGACTGCAAACTGGGCAGGGCGGGTGGGGGCATGTTTGGATCTTGTGGTTCATACTGTGACCTTGTTTTTGCCTATGTGTCGATAAGATTATGGAGTGGACATGTTTTTTTGTCTCATTTCATCATGGTCACAGCATGACCTTGTCTGAGGCTGGTGTTTTGTGAGATTATGTCGAGCAAGAAAACCCATGGCCCAGCTCTGAGCGCCAGGCGGTTCCTGACAGCATCTAAGTTCCTGACACATAGGCAAAAACAAGGTCACAGCGGCTGGCTCAGGCTGTAGGCAGTTTTTCCTTTTCTCACCTCTCTTCAGCCTTGTCTTTCATGCCTGGGAGATGTTATGGGAACAGATAAAGCAGGGTAGTGTGGTACCCCAGGAGTTCTGGATGATTCCAATAACTAGCGATTGCAAGCTTATCTTTGTTTTGCAGTTGTGTCTGAATCTCCCTTGAGGTCCTGGGAAGAAGGGCCCCTTCACCAAATGCCACCTGTTAGCATCCTACCCCAGCATTATGTCCACCTGTACTGAAGGTGTCTAAAATTCTATCAGAGATCAAGGTCAGGGCAACAACAGAAAGGACACAAAATCTGCAGGTTGCAAAATAGAAGGGAGACCAGTAGAATAGAGGAAGGAAATCAGGGAAGGAGAAGGCAAGGAAAGACAATGGAGACCGGAAATGAAAACTGACCAAATTATATTGCACACACGTAGGCATATATAACAATAAATCCCACTGGTATAGATAATTGTAATGCACCAATTTAAAAAGTTTTAAAAGAATCTGTAGGTTTCTTATCAGCTGAGGGTGTACTTATGGGGTTGGCCTAAGTCCCATCTTGCCCTGAAGGTCAAAGGCACAGACAGGACCAGCTGTTGCAATGATACCCAAGGCTAGAAGCTAAGTGGGAAGTCTTAAAGTCATTGTCTTCCACTTGTCTCTCTGAGATTCATGCCCCCTTTTTCTTCTACATTCTGTCCAAGTTCCCATCTGACAGCAGGTTTTATAGCAAATTCAGATTTCATAAACCAATTAGATTCTTCAGATGATATGTGGCTTAAAATCCAGGTCAACTAATGAACATCCTGGAACTTATAGCCTTCACCCTTCCTTCCACATAGCCTCCTATGCCCAGGTTGACACAGACAACCATACAGGCTGCTGATATAGCTGTACTGTTCTCTGGAATTTGAACTACCAGACAGAAATATATGCAGAAGCAATTTCTTATTAAGGCATTTCAAACAATTTATTCTATGAAAGAAGGCAAGGCCAATAGTCTCTTTTTCCCTCAGGTTTCCTAACTCATGAAAAAACAAAATCTAATCTCCTCAGATTGTAAAGACAGCAACTCTCAGCCTGGAGATGAACTCTGAAGTGCAGAGACCTCGTGTGCTATGAGGTATCAAGGCTCACTCTGAAATTTTTCTTGTTTATTTTTAGTTGTCTCAGCACACAAAGTTCTCTCTGGCAAGTTCCATTAAGAAAGACCCTGAAATATGATTACAGTTGAGTTGGCTCACAGGACTTGGTTACAAAACTTCAACCATCAAATTATTTTGCTTCCAGCCAAGTCAGATCCAAGTTTTAGTTTTCATCCACAAGCCCCCTGTCATGAAGAGGTGGGGACAGGGGCTGGGGATGTGGCTCAAGCGGTAGCGCGCTCGCCTGGCATGCGTGCGGCCCGGGTTCGATTCTCAGCACCACATACCAACAAAGATGTTGTGTCCGCCGAGAACTAAAAAATAAATATTAAAAAAAAATTCTCTCTCTCTCTCTCCTCCCTCACTCTCTCTTTAAAAAAAAAAAAAAAAGAGGTGGGGACAAAACAGAAGACTGCAACCGACATTTGCCAACCTCCTTTCTCATGGAGAGCTTCTGTGGAATTCCATGCCACCTTCCATACAGCCTATATGCTCACTGTCGAGAGAGGAAAAAGTGCAAGATGTATCTGTGTAATTTATAACTTGAATATGACATCCCAAAGTTGTGACTAAATACTTTATTATAATCACATGGGAAATGGACACAAAATTAGAAATCATTTTTTTTCTTTTTTTTTTTTTTACAAAAATCCAATGTCATTTCTGACTCCGGTCTCTTATAACCACAAAGAAGTTATCTTTTATTTCCTCATGTTTGGTTCAAAGCACCTTAAATCAAATGGGCACTTAAAAATGCAAACACAGGTGGTTAAGCCAGTAAAATCACCAGACACATAGCTTCAAGACTCTCAGGCCCTGATTTATTTTAGAAGTCTGAATATGTTCTAATTACTTGGTAGTAAACAATTTGTTAGAAATGACATATTTGATTCATAAAATCTATGGTTAAGGTCGCCAACATATTGGTTCCTTTATCATATGAATTAAGCAAAGCTCTGTCTAGTGCTGCAACCTAATGGATTTATCCCTTGATTTAAAAATTGCATCATCCATAGAAGGGGCTAGAAGGCAGGCTAGCACAGACAAAAAGCAGGCAGGGAACAAAGTGGGGCCCTAAGGAAGAAAGGTAGAGGTTCTGTGTAAGAACACCACTTTTACCTTGGTGCCTTGGGGGTGACAGGCCTATTCTATAAATGCCATTTGACGGGTGGAGAAAATGAAGCCTAAAAAAGGACAGTCCCAAGGTCTTCTCCTTTGGCCTTTCTGGCAGACTTTCCCCAAAGTGTCTGCTGCTGCTCAGTCAAGTTCAACTGTGTCACCTGTAAAGAGAACTGGCAGGAACCAGGAAACCTACCACTTAACGGCATAGTCCCTGTTCTTGGCCAGTGGGGTTGTACCTCTATAATTGGGTCCAAGCAAGTATCCAGATAAAAACCTCCAGTCCATGCATGCACCCCTGGGAATAGAAGCCCACCCCAAGCTGCACTCTGAGACCACCACGCAGGGACCTGAACATGCGGCCTTCTGGGTGGGCAGTGGTCTGCATGCAGCTCAGGGTTCCCCTAGCTCCCAGGCCAAGCAGCCCAGGCCCAGGGCCACACCCTACTCCTGCCTAGAAACCAGAGGTTGACAGAACCCCAGGGCCGAAGCTACTTTCTTATCTCAGGAATGGCTCTTTCATTTCATAACATAAAATCTCCAAAAATCCACTGTGATGTCTAATGAGCTACGCCTGAATTCTATACACTGATTTTTCTCCATGTGCCATCCCCCAGATGTCAGTTTCTAGATTAATTCTGCTGATCTCTCTCACTCAAAACACGGTGCATTATTTCCAGAACATTGATTTTTCTCAGCCTTGACAGTAGCACTGCCTTTATCTACCACAGTGACCAGACTCTTCTTTACATTTCCACTGTTTGAAAAATCAAGTTTGGAATGAATCCCTGGACCCAAGATCTGTCACTGATTCTCACCTGGTAAAAGGGACTTCAGGTCCACGTGTGTAACAGTACCCAGATGTCATTCTCTAGGAAGAGAATTCCTATTTTATTTATTTATTTATTCTTTTGCAAACAGTTTTAGAGGCAGGGTGTTAAACTGATTGAAATCTCACGAGATTGACATTATTGCTTAAAGTGCTTAAATTGGTTACATTAAAAAAAAAAGGTACAGATTATTTTAAACAAACACGACAAGACTTTCTTTTCTTTTTAAGCAACAAAATCAAGTGAATGCCACACAAATACAATAACTATTTTGGTTATACAGAAATGGGAGCCAAAAATAAATTAATTGTAATACTAGAAAACAGAAATTTAATTAGGCAGAAAAATAGGAAATAGTTTTCTCTGACCCATGCCATTTACATGAGTTAATCACAATAGTGCTGAAAAATGCCTTGACCATATAATAGCAAACGAGGGCAAAACATTTTGTGCACAGTATTTTAATACACATGAATATACAAAGTTGATCAAAATGCAATGTTTAAAGATAAAATCCATCTGTAATAAAGCTACACTCCAATATCTAAAATAAGTCCTAAGTGCCAGTTAGAACACAGTTCTCTCTATTAGGCTGTCCATGAAACGAAGGGTATTCATGAAAATAAATGCATAGGACCGTTTCCATCATTTTTTCCATTTCAGCTTAAAAGCAAAATATACCAGGCCACAAAACCAAATGACTGGCTTCCTATTCAGCTAACGCCCTGATCATGTTCCTTGCACTCCACGTCAGTCCACTTCTCATTGTCTTGGAACAGAAGACGCAGCAACAGAACGGGACTGGATGTCAGCATTTTACCAAAATTCGTTTTTTAAAAAAAGACTTTAGCATACTGTACCAAAATCTACGCACTAAACTAGTAAGTAACCAATAAAACAAATAGTTCTTTTTTTTTTTTTTTAAGTGTAAAACACTGTAACTTACGTTTAGACACCCAGCAGCTAGAGAAATGCAGCAGGCCTACTCACTCCTGCTGAAAGGGGACACACAAAAACCCTGGCCACGGAGGGAATATTGCTGAGCCTTTGTGCTATCACTGTGACCTTGGAATGGTCTCACGCATCCCACACCATTCTCTGCATTATGCCTGGAATGAGGGGATAAAAAATAACAAAGTGTTTGCATGCTATTGTCTTTACATAAAGAAAAATGATTGGGGTATTGGGGGGGGGATGTAGCTGCCTAGTTTTTGTTTCGTTTATTGAAGAGGAAGAGGAGAGGAATTACCAGAGAACTCTAAATTTTGAGAAACTGATGGAGTGTTGATAGAGAAGTGTGTTTTGTCTCCTTCCGATCCTCTTTTCTGTATCACACAACCATCCAAATGTCTGTGCAATAGTTTCCATACTTTAATTCCCAAAATGTACTCATGAACACTGAATTATAACTGACTTTGTCTATTCAAAGCAATCACTCCAATAACTGGGAAAAATTCTTTACAGATTAAAAAAGTGATAAATGAACTGAGCCTATAGTCATACTATTTATTACTGCTGTAGAATTCCAATTGAAACATTTTTGTCTAATAAAGTGGATTCGAGAGTTGTTTCAAAGGTAATTTTAATAGTTTTTTTTCTTACGAAATCACTTCCAAATATTAGAGATAACCATCATTTTCTTAAACTTTGTAACTTGCAATCAAGTATATGGACTATCTATAGTACAAACTTTTCCCTATATCAATCACCTTCAATTGGAAAGAGCCTCTTCTTAAAGATAAAGACTCATCTCCCAGGTAAGTGATTACCGCAAATGTTTCATGGAGGAAAAGAAAAGACAAAATATTTATAAACATGAATTTGCCTCTAATCAAGGCAAGGTACATTTTCATCACTTGTATAAAACAATAACATGAAGATCACCCTGTTTTGTCTTCTCCAGTGAAGAGTAAAACATTTCACTTCAAGCATGAACAAATGAAGTGTTGGCATGCTTAAGTTCTGAGCAATAAACAGTTCAAGGTATTTCAAAAATAAGAAATCCAGTTTTCATCTAGATAAAGTGCTATCCTCTTCATTGTTGCAAAATGGCCACTAACATTTTCAATTTCAGATTTAGTTCACATTATGCCAAGAGTTTGCATGTTTGTTCTCAGACGGATTAGGTAACAAAATAACATGTTCACAGTATATTAAAATGTATGGAAGTCAACTGACTTCCCAAAGGAAGTCGTGATTTCTGACTCATGGTATTTGTAGGAAACCAAAAACCAGTCCAACAGCAAAAACACCAAATTGACCCTTTTAATAAAAGGTACCAATACTCAAATGCTCTAATAAATACATAACAAGTGAAAAGTAAAAGTAACTATAGTGAGATGAGGTTCTTCCAAAAATCTCTGTCTTGTCAAGCATTCTAGGAGTCTGAGCCAAAGAAACCGCCGCCATCTTGTCCATTCCTCCACCTGCCCATTTACACGTCCGTGGACCCACCTCATATCTCAGCTAACTCCAGCATTCCCTCCAGGGAGGGTTCTCTGTTTCTGCCCTGGGACTGCCAGTGCCTCAGTAAACAGACAGAATATGTTTTTTAAAAAATTAAGCTGTACAGTGCGGCTGATGGTTGTGAAGGTGTAGTGCTGTTGTTACTCCAGATACGGAAGGACGTTGGTGCTGACCAGCTGGCTGGCTAAGGAGAGATGTGCCAGAGGCAGTCAACGGGGTGTCTCAGCCTTGAGATCACAGACTGCGAAACACCAGCAGGGTTTGGAAAGAGAGCTTGAAAACCTTAGCAGTGCCAGGAACAGGATAAATACGACTCACAGGACCTTAGAAAAGAAATGTGTCACTAAAAATTAACAGCAGTGAGTTATTTTCCTGAAACTTGGTTTTGGTAGAAAGATTAAGAAAAGCAACTTTTCACTGTCCACAAAAACTCCTTCCTCTTGGCTTTGCCTGCCCTGAGCTCCAGAACTGCTTAGCCCCTGGAATTCTGACAGCTAGGTCAGCACAGCCCGGTGCAGACACTAGCCACCGCGAACAGCTCCTCGTCACCCTGTGCCACGGGGAGGATGATTTTTAGTATCGAGGTTACTCACTTTTAAACATTTAAACAATTCCACTTGTATGAACTTAAAGCTATAGTTGCAGCCCTAAAAGGTGAACATCTACCCAATTCTTCTGTCCTTCTGTCAGAAAAGAGGCAGATAAGCTAGAAAGGGGTAGTAGCAATGCCTCCAGGGACAAGTTAAAGGAATGCATTGGAAGGAAACCCCAGAAGCCATTTAGGAAGTTTAGCAAACACTGAAAATAGACCATGGCATTCATAGGAAATGCCACTGTAACTCAGCAGACATAGCCGAGTGGCTTAGCACTCACCCAAACCTAAAATTAGCAACTGTTATTCATATAAATCTTACTTCAATCTGATTGCAGTTAACTCTACCTCAGACCAAAATAAAACCAAGAGTAGTGCTGCATGTAAAAAAAAAAAAAAAAAAGGAGAAAGTTTAACACAGCCAGATCACTGAGTGGTGACATTAGTGGGCTGCTGGGGAAGGAGGAGGTCTGCAGGGGAAATGGGTAATAGTGCTTTGAACAGTTTCCCCTGCTTGAATTAGTCCCACAGTTCTTTAAGTTTATTCTCTTGACTGATAGAATAAAATATATCCAGATTCTGAATTTTTTGATATATCTGACGTCAGGCCATAGAATTCTTCAATAGCTTGAGCATCTATTTTCTGCAACAAAGGAAAAATAAAACAATACAATTATTTACCTTGATTTCTGGGCAAAGAAACACTAATGGAACATACAGAAAAATGCAAGAGACGCTAGTTGTTATAAAATCACAATTTGATACTTTTTTTTGGTACCAGGGATTGAACCTAAAGGTGCTTAACTACTGAGCCACATCCCCAGTTCTTTTCAGTTTTGAGACAGGGTCTCGCCAAGATGCTTAGGGCCTTGCTAAGTTGCTAAGGCTGGCTTTGAACTTGTGATCCAGTGTGGAACTTTTGATAACCAATGGATAATTCCACAGACAGAAGGACATATTCACAAATTACAAATCACTAAAGAAGAAAGTCACCTTTTCATTCATCAGCAAATATACACAAACACCCTTTGAAGAAACCAGGGGTTCTATCTTTCAGCTGGTAAACTGAAGGATCTGAGAGTAACTTTATTTCATTCAGACCACTAGAGTTAATTTCTTTCAGTGTAACTTACTCAAAAGTTACCCTAGTGGGTTAAAATAGACCATGTCCTTAAATGTAGAGTTCAAAATCAACAAAATCAATATATGAAATGTTTTGCTGTAATAGTGATTTCCAGATCCAACAGACTGAAAAATATCACACATATTTTAAACAATAATCAAAACAAGAAAATTTTTTTATTAAAAAAAAGAATTTTAATAGAACTCTGAAGTCTATTATTTTCTCTGTACCTAAAAGGAATTCAGACATGGTAGGAAACAAAAGCACACATCCTTGTGACTAATGGTGACACACACAGGGAGAGATGCCATGTCTGTGGCATCAGGTAATAAGATCACAATAGTAACAAGTGCACTGTCCATATTCCCCTCCCTTTCCATGGAGCATGGGGATCAGCAAAAGTTAGTTTTAAAAGAAATTTAAGTTTTCAAGTCAGATTATGGGAAAACTGGCCTATTTTAGAAAACACCACACATGCACATCCCCCCAAAGTCCCATCTGTACCCTTTGCCTACTGGAGAACAATCTGCATACTAACCTCTACAATGTCGTCATCGAACAAAAGCCAGAAGCCATGACTTTTCACAATAGTAATATAATGCCCACGATTAGGTCCACTGGAAAAGAACAAATGAAAGAAAGTCACGAGGTAAACGTTTATTTCTTTATAAAACTCTACTTTGCTCTTTATGAGCAGTGTCTTAGAGGAAAAAAAAAAAAAAAAACTAAGGCCATCAGGATAAAGAACTTGGTACAGCCGGGCTCAGTGGCAGGCACCTACAGTCCCAGCTATGCAGGAGGCTGAGATAGGAGGGCTGCTTGGGGCCAGGAAGTTGAGGCTGGCCTGGGTATTATAGCCAGACCCCACCTTAAATAATAATAGTAACAAAAAGAACAAAGTATAGCTTTGTCTATACCCACAATTCATAGAGGAGCACCTGGTCGGGAAATACCAAAATGCACAAAGGGAATATGCTCTAAGGACTTAGATTCCAGTGGGGAAACAGGCTTTCGGATCTGCAAGTATTAACAGAGTTCCTGTCTACCTGTTGTGTGCCAGGCCCTGTTCTGGCTGTCAGGGAGAAAAACAGTGATCGACACAAAGTCCCACTGTCTTGGGACTTGGTGCTAGGGTTTGAATGTGTCTCCTAAAGGTCCTATTAGACACTTAAGCTCCAATGCAACAAGAGTTGAGAGGTGGGATCTTTAAAGGTAACTGCTAAAGGTGCTGCTATCGCGAGAGCAGTTTGCTATGAAAACGAGATCAGCTCCTTCTCTCCCTCTTGCCCTCCTCTCTATGTGATGCCTTCCGCCATGTAGGATGGCAAGAAGGCCCTCACAGAATGAAGCCACTGGACCTTGGACTCCCCAGCCTCCAGAGCCATGAGCCAAATAAACCTCTACTCACATAAACTCCCCAGTCTGTGCTGCTGTTAGAGCAGCACTAAAGGGACTGAGGCACTGGGTGTGGGCTGGGTAGGCAATAAACAAACCAACAGTTAATACATGTCAAGTGGTGACAAGTGCCACGAGGAAGAGTCGGTGGGGTAACAGGACAGTGAGGACCGAGGGGCAGGCGTTAACTTGATAAAGAGCAGTGAAAGGAGGTCTCTCTGATAATGTGAGATTTGAGCAGAAGCAAATTTCCTTGAAGGACATGGGGACATGGGAGGAGAGCAGTCATGCAACTAGTGATAGAAGTTTCAAGACTGGGAAATACCAAGTGCAAAGCCCTGGGGCAGAGTTAGCCATGGTGTGTTCAGGAAAAGCCTGGAAACCTAGCAGCTGGAGCCAAGTGAGGCCCAGGAGGACAGAGGGGAGACAACCAGAGAGGGGCAGAAGGACAGTGGTACAGAAAGCACGGGGCCTGGTAGCTAAGAGTGCAGACTCGGGGCTGTGGGAGTCAGGAAGACACCCAGCAATTCTGAGGAGTAGGATGATCTGATTTAAGTCTTAGAAAGATGCTGAGGAACTACAATACATGACAATGAGTGCTAAGATAGAAAGGCTGGAGTTTTGCACTGTGGAAGGAGTAGAAAGAACAACTGCTACTGGGTTGTTACATGAGATTTGCATTCTAAGGGGATTTTCATTCTAAATCTAGAGTTGTTTTTTAATGCACCACTGAAGTTGAAAAGCTGAATCCCTCCACTTCTCTAAACACAAAAATGCTGCAAACAATTCTTCCTGTCTCTCTCGGCCTCCTCAGGACACTCCTTCCCTCTGCCTCTGAGCTGCAGGCATTGGGCTCCTATTCTCCCATCTGGGCCTTCACAATTGCATTCCTGGCCCATTCCCTCCTTGGCTGTGCTTGAATGTTACCTTCCTAGATCAATGTCACCCACCACCTTACCTAAAGAGGCACCTTGCAATACCCACCCTCATCTCCCTACTTACTCCTCAGGGCACCAATCAAAACCGTACTTTATCTGGCAGAAGTTTTATTTTGGTGGCGTGGGCTTACTTCTGTGTTATCTGTCTTTCCCCCCGACCCTATGCTTCATGAAGGCAGGCTCCTGTGCAGTCTTCAGATCCTGGCATGGAACCCACACAGCAGCAGCTCAAACCCCAGGAAGTCACCCACTTCCCATGTGAGGCCAGCCCTGCTCTGTGTGCGGGAAGGAGCTGGCCTCGGGGAAGGAGTTTCAAGCATCCTAGTGGGTAGCATGTGTAACTTGGCACCAACTCCCCTTGCTGCCAGAGCTGCTATGACCTTTGTATCCCCATGACAGACAGGGATGATTCCAGAACCCAACTTCCCACAGGTCCCCCAAGCCCTCCATGGGCCTCTGACTTGCTCTCACCAGTGCTCCCAGGGATCAGCACTGGGTACCCACAGAGATCCAAACTGAACGTGCTCGTGTGCCCTGCCGTCCGAATGCCCGTTTCTCCAGCCTCCCTGGCACAACTTGAAGGTCCACGCTGTCGTCACCACAATGTCCACCCCCATCATGCTCCACCTGCTCCAAGACCTCCCTCAGCTCTCCACAATGTAGAGTCTTTGTTCTTTAGAAGAACAGATGCTAGAGCTATTCTCCAGGAGAACACAAAGCTGGTTCATAACCATCAATAAATATAACTCACATAAGACATAAGAAAAAATATACAGTGACTTGAAGTTAATATACTCAGAAAAAAAAAACAGGACACATCATATGCAAAGCTACACTCTCTGAGCCCACTCATCCTAGCAGAGTGAAAAATGGACCAGCCCATTCCCCTCACTGCAACAGTCTCCTCTTGGAAATGGTTTGCTCACCACTTACTACCTAGGCGGATGGAGAGAAGACTGGCTCTAGGACACTCCCCAAAATAAAGAGATGGCAAACGGGGTGGGGTGGGGGGGCTTTCACGGAGTGGGGGGGGGCTTTCAATATACTTTTCTGTGCTTATACCAAATTATAAGATAAAAAAATATTTGCCTAAAAAACCTTCATCTAAACACTTTACTTTTCCATTTCTAGAAGCCTTCTCTCTCCGTTCTCTGATTGTACCCTTACTACAGAATGTGGGGAAAGTCTTAACATTGCCTAAAGAACATTTTTAAGAATAGAATTTTAATCACTCCAAATACCACAAAATTATTAAATATAGGACCTCTTGCTTCCAGTCTTTATTTCTACATCTTAAAGAACTTTTGAGATCATGCAGTAGATGTAATCTAGCTTCTTAAATTTTAAAATCATAGCATAAATTTTATTTTTCCATTTTATTTTAAATTTATCTTAAGTATCATTGTTACCAATGAAGATTTATTATGTCCTTTATTACAGAACAACTGAATTATCATTTTTGTGATCCTATTTATGTATACCTGTAGGATGTTTATAGAGTCAGGTACCATGTGATATGTCAGCTAGTGACACACCACACATACAACAATAGTCCCTTAAGATTACATTGCCTGAATTATGAAGAATACAAGCAATAATAAGTGTTGGTGAGGATGTGGGGGAAAAAGTACATTCATACATTGCTGGTGGGACTGCAAATTGGTGCAATCACCATGGAAAGCAGTACGAAGATTCATCAGAAAACTTGGAATAAAACCTCCATTTGACCAGCTATACCACTCCTAAGTTTATACCAAAAGGACTTAAAATCAGCATATTACACTGACGCAGCCACATCAATGATTATAGCAGCTCAATTCACAATAGCTAAACTATGGAACCAAGCTAGATGCCCTTCAACAGAGGAATGGATAAAGAAAACATTGTATATACATACACAATGGAATATTAATTGGCCTTAAAGAAGAATGAAATTATGGCATTTGCAGGTAAATGAATGGAACTAGAGAATATCAAGCTAAGTGAAATAAGCCAATCCCAAAACACCAAAAGCCAAATGTTTTCTCTGATCCATAGTGGGACGGGGTGGGGTGGGGGATAGGGAAGAATGAAGATTACATTGCCTGTAACAATGTAAAGCACTGTCACAGCCTTAGTGGTAGGAGTACACTCTACGATGTTCACACAATGATGAGCCATTTCTTAGTACACATTCCCACTGTGAAATGACACAAACCTGTATTCTTTTTTTTTAAATGAGGTGATCAATGAGAGTATGGATGACATTCCCCAAAATGCTGAGTATTACAGCCCAGTCAGACGTGCCTGGGCCTGTTTTGGTGACAAACCCCTGTGTTATCATGTGCACCCGCTTCCTAGCCCACCTTTACCTGCCGCAGTGAACGACCACGGCCACCAGGTCATACATGCGGTCCAGGTTCACGGCATCGCTGGAGGTGTTAAAGAGCCGGAGTTCCAGAGGGAAGACCACCCGGTAAGACAGCTTGGTGTACCTATGGAGCTGCTCCATGTACTTGAACCGCTTCAGGTGCAGGGCCAGAATCATGGGCAGTTTTTTTACTCTCATCCTAAGAAACAGAAAATCAGTTGCACCCAATAACTGATTAGGGAACAAAAACACGCTGTCGCCTAATAAACGTGAGTAGGAAGGATTCTAGCACATTTCAAACTGGCCAATAACCAAACAGCTCACAGGAAGAAAAGGATTCCGGCTTATAGAGACTGACTAATGCCGATCCTCAGCTAACTGGAGCAACATCACAACGTGTGTCTCTGTTTGGTCAAAGTAGATGCTTCTGAATTTGTGTACTAATAAAAACACACGTGCAACTGCTCTGTCACTGTCCTCTGCCTCCCAGAGTAGAATATATTTGGACAATCCATCCCTGAGATATGGACGGGAGGGCTGAGAGCTTTTGAGAAAAGGAAGTTGGGAAGAGGACAAGGTGGGAGGATGCAGACCAAACTCCAGAGAACCTGCAGAAGATGCTCGGGCACACACTCCTGGTGTCAGACACAAGGGGGGCTGGGCTTATACCTACCCCTTTCTCCTGTCATCTGGCAAATCAGACCCCTTTTGTGGTTCTCAGTTTCCTCACCTATAATGCAGGCGTTGCCTCAGGGGTACATTTCCCAAACTGGGCTCCAGAGAACACTGGAGTTTCCTGTGGCTATGTTTGGACAGGGATGCTTCCTATTTCAAAGTCCTCCATGTGCATTAGCACACTGAAGTTTTGGCTTTTTTATTGCAGTAAAGAAACTATTCTGGTTTGTTGAAGCAGCATGTCCCACACTCACATAAACACAGAAAGCCTTTTCTCATGGGATGATCATTAGCGTTCCTCAATGATCACGGCAGTAATAGCTTAACAGACAGCACTGCTGGAAGGGAGGAGCTTGGTTACCTCCCAGGCCCCCCATGTCGTGAATGTGCTGAGTCAGTGTCGGTGCTGCTCAGCGTTGCACATTTTCAATGCATATTGTTTGAAAAGAAGAGATTGAGTCTAACTGAGGAATCAGTTAAGTTAAAACTTGTTCATAAAAAGAAGCAAAATAAAAACATCGGTCAAAGAATTATGGGGAGCCCCCTCTTTTATAGGAACATGTGACATTTTAATGCATCAAACCTTCAGGGCTCCTGAGCATGGTGGCACATGCATGTAATCCCAGGAACTCAGGAGGCAGAGGCAATATTGCAAGTTCCAGGCCAGCCTCGGCAACGTAGTGAAGTCCTACGCAACTTAATGAGGCCCAGTCTCAAAATAAAAAAAAAATAAGTAAAAAGGGTTAGGGATGTAGCTCAGTGGTAGAGTCCCTGGGTTCAATTACTAGTAAAACAAATAAAGATGGGCTGGGGTTGAGGCTCAGAGGAAGAGCGCTTGCTAGCTGGCGGGAGGCACTGGGTCCGATCCTCAGCACCACATAAAAATAAAATAAAGGTCAATCTACAACTAAAAAAAAATAAATAAGTATTAAAAAACAAATTTAAAAAACCCTGCAGGGCTGAACAGCAATCTTCTTCATGCCGTCTGCCTTAGAAGACCAAGAAGATGGGAAGCAGAGACAAGCTCCCTGTCCACTAACAGAGATCTGCCTGCTACCTCCACTGCTGCCTGAGACACTGATGGGCCTTTTGTAAGTTTTGTTGAAATGAGGAAAGATGTTCATATCTGGGGTGGAGGGCTAAGGAGGCTGGTAGAAAAATTATTTCAATCTTGATCCACAACCTCAAGGGTTTAAAACAGAAGTATTGAGCATGTGTGAGCTACCTTGGAAACTCCAGAACCAGCAGGAAGAAATAATAATAATAATAATAATAATAATAATAATTATAATAAAATTTAACTTGCAGTAAGGCTTCATGGGATGACTAAAACACTGAGCATCTTGGCTTCTGGGGGCAGATAAGGAGGAACAAACGGTTATCACAGAGTGTCCAGAAACTGTAACTGTCAGATGCTAGCAAAAAGATGGGGAGCTCTGGGTTCTATATCAATTAAGAACACAATAGCTTTCTTACCGCCTAGCTCTGTAACTGATGTGTCCTTGACTCCCTCACAACTTCTTATTAGATGATGGGTTTTTTTAAAAAATCCCTGTAAATAAGAAGTCCCAATGTCTAAATAATACTAACAACAATAATATTGGGTGTCTACTACATTATGTACTGTGCTAAATACATTTATCTTTAATGTATCAAGAGGACAGGGATTATATTTGATCCCCACTTGTGTACCCAGCATAATATCTGGCACACCGTGGCGCTCAGTACTGGTTGAGTGACTAAATAAGTGAGCAAACAATCGGACAGACAGCTCTCCAAGCCAGCACTCCTGTCCACGTTTCCCTGGTGGGGAAGGACCTGAACAGCTCTGTGAAGCTGAGATCCACAGCCAGAGCTGTGTGCCCACCTATGCCACCCGTGTCACAAAGCCACTTTGGAGCCAAATCCTTTACGTACCTTTTTTGGGCCTCCTGTTTGCTGCAACATGTTTCACAATAATATTTTTGTTCGCTGCACAGCGTTTCTGTGTTGCTGAAGTCTCTGCAGAGAAAAATATTTTCATGTTTTAAAAAGTCCAAACGGGCTGGGGATGCAGCTCAGTGGTAGAGTGCTGGCCTAGCATGTTCAAAGCCTGGGTTCCATGCCCCGGCACCGGGAATGTGGGGGGGGGGGTCCAATGTACTTGGCATTCTACGGTTTACACCCCGCTATTACCTGCAGAGTGACTTTCAAGTGGAAGTAGGGAAAACAGTAATCAGAGAAGTTCCCTCGTAACAGCAGGGCCATTATGCCATTAGAGCATGTCTACCGGGTTGTGTTAACAAGTTCACCACTTCACCAAGAGACTTTAAAATACAACTTTATTTAATGGAACACAGATATAAACTAGGCTTGCCAACAGATTCAGGGGGAAAAACAAAAAACAAAAAAACCATCAGGACTTAACAGAGAATACCTGTAAGCTGGAAATTGAAAATTGTAACAGAAAACTACTGTAGTAAAAGCCCTCCTTAATACTCATCAGGTCTGAAAAAGGCAATCACATAAAATAGAAGGTGCAGTTAATAAAGACTCGCAGAGGGTCAACATTTTCAAAGACCACAATAGTAAAGACAGTGGAATTTAAACCACATATAGCTGGGGGCAGTAGCTCACGCCTATAACCCCAGTGTCTAGGGAGGCTGAGGCAGGAAGATCACCAGCCTCAGCAATTTAACAAGGCTCTGAGCAACTCAGTGAGACCCTGTCTCAAAATAAAATACAAAAAAGGGCTGAGGATGTGGCTCAGCTGTTAAGCACCTCTGAGTTCCAGTCTTGGTACAAAATAAATAAATTAATTAATTAACCACATATAACTTCCCTTACTTTAAACTAAGAAAACCCCCAGTTACCAGGAGGTGACTGCCTTCTACCTACCCCATCCCCCACAGCTCCTCCACCCCCAAGAGGAGAAAAACTTCAGCCTGCCTACTTTTGAGAACAAAAGGCATTGTATCTGTTCTCTGTGTATTCATCTTATCACAAGGTTTTACTCTGCTACTTAAGGTTTTCATTTTTTAAATGTCACGGCCTTTCTTTTCTGGTCAAGATTCTACTTAACATTTTTGTGGTCTGTTTCCAAAGACTGAAAAAGAACATTGAGAATATAATAATACTCTATGGTTTTGAAAATACTTGTGACATTTCCTTATTCAGAGTGTCCTATTACCAGAATGATCAGATTTTATTAAATAGAAAATGGCATTTAAATGGGTGTTAATGGCTCTACACAGAAAAAAAAAATCAAAGAAAACACAAATTGCTCATTCCTTATATCCCCAAACAGTCCTCTGGACTAGATCCTGGGGAGTCACAGAGAATAACTGCCCTCATATAACTCATAGACTAACAGAGCCATGAGCAAATGAACCACTGATCATATGAAATGCTTGGTGTGGCCAAGACATAAAGCAATGGACACGGGCCGGGCATGGTGGCACATGCATGTGATTCCAGTGACGTGGGAGGTTGATAGGGGTATCTCAAGTTCAAGGTCAGCCTCAGTAACTTAGTGAGGCCCTAAGCAACTGAGTGAGACCCTTTCTCAAAATAAAAAGGGCTGGGGATGTGGGTCAGTGGTAAAATGCCCCTGTGTTCAATTCCTAATAACCACCTCCCATAAAAAAAAAATCACAACAAGCTATACACATAGTTCCTCTGCCCGCAGCACTGAGGAGTAAGTCAAACTCCCTGCCGTAGCTATAGGCTGTGGTCATGAGGGCCCATTACTCCTCTGACCTCTTTGCCTCAGCTGCTGGAGCCTCGGGCTATACTCTTCTAGCCCAGCTACTTCCTCAGCACCCAGAGCTCTTCTCCGAGGCCTGCATGGCTGCTGGGCTGGCTAGCCAGAGCTCAGCCTAACTATGCTCTTTGGAGAGGACCTCCCTGACCACCCAGCCCCTACCATGTGGCTGTCTGGTTTTCTTCAGCACCTGTTTGCCCATCTGAAACCTTCCTTCTGTTCATCTGGTCACTTCCTCTCCTGTAAGCAGGCAGTGGCTTTGTCTCACTCACTGCCACATGCCCAGCCTGACCCAAAATGGCACTTGACAACAGTTAGTGGCCAGATGAATGAACAATCAAAGACAGAAAGGGAAATAGTTCGGAAAAAAGAGAGATGAACATGATCTGGAGAAATTCAGGCTGTTTCCTCAATGGGCAAAATCCAAGTTAGGTTCTCACAGAGGGAGTGTGTGCCAGGGGACAACAGCAAAGGAACACCACAGCGCAGAGGCAGGGACACAAGGCACAGACGTAAGGTGAGAATATGGGGTGAGGGTGTGGCAGGAATTGCCTCTGCAGTGAGTAGCACAGTCCCCAGGATGCTACCACGAGGCTGGCATGGACCCTGTGGCTCTGCAGCCCACCAACAGCTCTCATCAAGGAAAAGCCAACATCAGACAATGCTTTGCAAAAATGCCACTTTGGGCAGCACAGAAGAGAAGGACAGAGGGGTTCGTAAGCCAAGGAAACCATTTAGAAGGCAATTATACTCGACTTTCAGATTTGAAGTGCTTAGTGCATAAACAGACTCAAAATTAGCTGAATGAAGAACTTTAATTGAGTCAGTGCTGTGAAATTGTGTTTTAGTTGCATGGGATTGGCTGGAGTGGGATGGCGGAGCTGTGCAGCAGGAGGTGCGGACAGGCCTCAGTGAAGATTCATGTCCATGGAACACCTCCCACAGACAAGCCTCCATATCAGCACAGCCAAGGAAAGCAGGGCAAAGATAAGGAATTAAACACTTTCTATCCTCATGTCTCCCAAAATGTTCTCTGTAGGCCCAGATAAGTAGAGGTTAGTACAGGAAAAGCGTCCCTAATCCCCATATCCTTAACACTTCTGGGCCCAAGCATTTCTGATAAGGGATGCTCAACCTGTACCGATTTAAAGGCCCAGTTTACAAGCGATCACCATCATGCCCAGTTCCAGCTGGCTGGAAGCCCACTGCCACAAAAGACATGGTGACGCTCTCTCTTGGTATTTGAGTTAAGAAATGGAACATGAGGGTCGGTCAGGAAAAGGGGCTGAACAGCAGCAAACTAAGGCAGAACAGGTCTATTGGTATAGGCTGATGGTTGCCAGAAGCAAAGTGAGCAAGAGAGATGGAAGGTATTTTCAAGGAGAGAGTCAAAGGGGAGGGAGATGGCAGAGCTCTTTGATACATGACAGGAGTACAGAGAGAGGGGTGGGGCACAAAGCCTTTGCATTTCTTTCAAAAGAGTTATAGTAGCAAACATTATTTAAAGATACACTCTAGGAACAAATCTAATAAGAAATGCCCACCTTAATACAGGAAACTATTGACCTATGGAAACATATACACAAGATGGATTAAATAGACAAAGACCACGTTCCCACACAGAAAGGCAATTATATATCATACAAACAGCTACCCTGTCCAAGTTTTAATGTCTATATTTAATACATTTTCAATTAGAATCTAAACTAATTCAACATAATAGTTCAAAAACTTTTTTGTATAAAAGAAATTCTCCATCAACGCTTTCTGATAATTTTCACATCAGAATCCACGTGGAAATGGACACAGTTTGAGAAGCACACTGGGTAAACTGATGCAGCTGCTCCAACCATGGGGCTCTGTTGGTGCCAACCTCTGCGCATTCACCCAGGAGTTGAGGGGACCAACATGCCCCGGTTACCCTGTTCCCTGCCACTAGGAAGCTCTGCTCTAAATTTTAGATCACGTGGGGATTGTTTACAAATCTCATTACTCCATGTCCGCCCTCCCTGCCTCTTTCCACGCACACCCCCAAATACACAAGAACTTCTCCAGGTAAAACCTAGGCATTGCTGTTTAAACTCCCCCACAGTTTCAGTGTGCTGCCAGGGCTCAGAACGGCGGTCCCCAGGCGGCCCAAATGTTAGCAGGCATCTGAAGCCCCTGGGTAATCTTGTCAAGATGCAGATTCTGACTGAGTCTTAGTGGGGACCTGAGATTCTGCATTTCTAATGAGATGCCAGGTGATATCCAAGGTGCCAGCACTTGTAGCAAGGAGCTAGAGCAGAGGTGCTGACTTGGTAGTATCAGAATCACCAGAATATTTTTAAAGACAGGCCCAGACTTTCTGAAGTTCTTGAAAATGGTCTGGGTCTCTAGTTTTACCAACTTCCCCATCTGATTCTGATACACACTAACCATTGAGAAGTATTAATTCAAGTATTATAGCAATTTTAAAGAAAGAAATCCATAAATAGGGCTTATGTGTCAGATACTATGAAATACTATGTATCAATAATAACCAAAATGGACACAGGTCAGAGAAACAGAAGGGAGAAACCAATAGATAAGCAATAGGAATGCATGTGTACACGAACTTAGTATGTGAAAGAAGTTTCTCAAAATAAGTAGAAAAGGAATTTCTTTTAATGAATATTAATTTTTCAAATAGAAAGGGCTTTGGGACAATTAAAAGGCTGCTTTCCTCTAACACATGGCCCATGTCCTGACGCTGGGGATTTTAAGTAAGGGGAACACAAGAGGAAGTGGAAGGTGATTTGGGGGCACTGAATATTTTGAAGAGAAAAGTAAATTTCTGTGAAGGAGCCACAGGGAAAGGAGAAGGCACTCAAGGGGAAGAGAAAAGCTACCAAAAAGGCATGGCAAGGACAATTAAGATGAACTGCACATATTTTAAGTTTTTGCCTGAGGACATCCCTGAACTTTTTCAAAAAGAAAAAAAAAAAGAAAAAGAAACCTCTTTCAGTATCTTCCTATCATGTCTAAAACACAGAACTGGGATTTGAAATATCAGAATTATAGCTCTGCCACAGTATGGATTTAAAGTTTCTTTAGATCTGTATCCTGAATTTAACCACTGTTACACCATTTCTCTGGGATTAAAGTTCAGTGAAAATACACTGTAATCTTCACCTACACCCCTTCTGGGGGGAGGTGGCAGGAATCTTTCATTTGGTTCCCATACTTTTACTTATTTATCTTTTTGGCACTGGAGATTGAACCCGGGAACACTTCACGACTAAACTACATCCCCAGCCCTTTTCTTTTTCTGTTTTTTTTCCCCCCTTTGATTCAGGGTCCATGTTGCTGAGGCTGGCCTTGGACTTGAGATTCTCATGCCTCAGTCTCCCAAGTTGCTGGGATTACAGATGTATACCACCACACCCAGCAAATCCCACAATTTTAGCTTGATTTATTAAAAAAATAATTAAAATAACTTGAAAGACCAAAATAATAAAGAGATGTGTGGAGATGATGTTCAAGAAAATTCATAGGCTAATTTTAAAAACAAATGAAAAAAAAAAAAGAATAAAAGCCAAATAAAATCATTAAAGAGGCCAAGAAAGACCAACATCACTCCTTCTCATTAGTCTCAAAGAGATAGAAAAAGTCACTGGGCCAGCTCGAATTGCTCATTCGCTAGTGGGAATTCCTTCTGGTGGGACAGGCTGAAAGCTGCCACAGAACTCAATGGTGAATGGCAACAGCAGAGAGCTTCTCTTAAGATGTCCACATGTGGGTAGATAAGGTGAGAAGGTCAAGGTTAAGTGTGCTGTCAGGAATACTGGCCTGGGGCCCATTCAGATGTGGATCTAATGATGTTTAAAGGCATTCTGTGGTTATTACACACTCACCCATCCCAGCTTTAACCCTTGCAAATGCCTCTACCCTGCCTTCTCCATTGGTCCTGCATGCAGGACCAATCCATACTTTTCTCCAGGAAAAGAAATCATGGAAACAAGTTTGGACTAATTTCTTTATAACACAGCTTCCCAAAGGTCGAAATTAGGACTAGCCACCTAGTTCTTTACCTGGCTGATCTCAGAATTACAGCCACCGCTTCCTTCCCTTAGGATTTCCCACAAGGGAAGGGAAAAAGTCAACTTGCCCAACCCCAAACTTCCTCCAAGAAGAGGAATGGGCAGATAATGCCTTTCCTCCATCCCCTCATCTGCTAACGTCCATTCAATCTTAACATTTCCCACATCCTGTGATCACGAACCCTTGGGGATATCAAAAGTGCCTTTTCTCCCACAGGAATGCTGGGAACATGTGCCATGAACAGAACCAGGCAGAAGAGAAAGAGGCTGTCCTAGCCCATCACACACCACGCAAAAGAGACAACAAATTCCTCCTTCTCACCTGTACCTACGGAGACAAGAGCTAAACACCAAACTGACAGGGAACTGCCCACTGGAGGTGAGGAGCCTCTGAGCCCTGGGTAACAGGAAGTGATCAGACCCCCTCCCATCCCCACAGCTCTTCTCAGCTGGGGGGGCAACTCTGCTCTGAAAGATGGTTTTCTACCAGGCAACCAGCACAGCAAGTCCCTTGAATCTATTCTAAAGATTCCAGGGAACCTAAGTACCTAAAAGAACAGTCCTGTCACCTGAGCGTTACTGACACAGATCGACAGTGCCCTGTGACGACACTATAAAAAGCTGTGGCACTCTGTGTGGGAGGCCCACCCTGGCCACTCAGTCTACACTGGCACTCTGTCATGGGAGCCACTGCCCGGGCGGGGCTGTTTCACCACATGTGCCCACTAGAATGTAAGTGCTGCAGGAGCAGGGGGCTGAGGTGGTAGACCCTCCTCTGCCCCCACGTCAACAACAGGGCCGGGGCAAACTGCAAGAACACACGTCCTCTTGTGTAAGGGCTATGGGGAGTGAGAATCTTGTCTACATAATGACTCTGAGCATATTTCAACAGACGAGTCAACACACGTATGGACAGTACTCCTGGACAGGCATGCCCACACGCTGGGCTCCTTACCTTCTCTCAGGGCTAATGAGGAAGAAGTACTTTCCATGAATGAGCTCCACAGAATACTAAAAAGATGGAGGAGAAGGCAATTCCCTCACTGGTTCTCAAAGTGCATAATTTTTTAAATAATAGAAGAGATTATCTCAGAAAAAGAAAGAGCAATGATAGGCATCTGTAATATTTATTAACTTATTTACATAAGTGAGTGTAAGACAAAGAAAGAGACTGCAGAAAGCCAAAAGTGTTCCTCTGTGTTTTAAAGATCACAATTTTATTTTTTAAATTTAATGATTAAATGAATTACAGTAGATGGGGTAGGGAGAGAAGACGGGAAGGGAGGGGATGGGAGGGGAGGGAAGGAGAGGGGAGGGGAGGGGAGGGAGGATAGTAGAGGTTAGGAAATACGACATACACTAGTATGGCAGTAGGTAAAAAAGTGGATGTGTAACCGATGTGAATCTGCATTATGTATATAGAGTAAAAATGGGAGTTCATAATCTGCTTGAATCAAATGTATGAAATATGATATGTCAAGAACTTTGTAATGTTTTGAACAACTAATAAAAAATATATTTTTAGCTGTAAAAAAAAAAGGAATTTAAAAAAAATTTTTTTTTCCTTTCTTTTTGGACACCCATTCTTAAGAAGTGAGCCTGTTGTCTTTGGAAATGGAAAAAGAATTTTCTTCAACATGATGCAAGACAGTCTTTCATCAAGAGCTCATCTTATGTCACAGCACTTTCTTATACTATCTCCTCTGCTGGGGTCACACTAAAAGGAAAACAGGAAAAAAACCCTACCCAGCCTCACTTGACATTAATGCAATTAAAAAGCACTATGAATATCTTATTCTCTGTCCCCAAAAATGAATTATGGTAAAAAAGACCCACTAAAATATGTACCAGTAGTGTTGACTCATGCTGGATGTGACAGATTTTTGCAAGTCAACAAAGTCAAGCAGGGTTTGTTGAGATCTAGAGAAGCTCAGCCAGGTGGCAGTCAAAGAAGTACTGAGAGATAGCTGCTGTCAAAGTTTGAATCACAGTAAGCTGATTCCCAGGAGATATCAAAGAAATCAACACAAAAGAAAAAACTATACATGAAGTAATTTTAAAATGTCACAAACTTTTGTTTTGAATAAAGTTAGTTTTCATACATAAAATGTATTTCTAGGGACAAAAATTAAGTCTGATATAATTGGGGTATGAGTTTCAGGTATATGATAAATCTATGATCATAGGTAAAATTGCAACTTTATAACATACCTTCAACTAACTGGACTCTCTAAGACAGAGTTGGCTAAGTCACAGATGAAATTTCACAGATATATGGGGATTCTTGGATGAAATTTGGACAGCAAGACTAGGTTTATACTGCTGCCAATTATGTTTAGATCTCATGTTTTATTATAGCCCTTAACACTGAAAACATCTCACATGACAATCAGTGGCATCAATTCATTGCAGCTTTGCCCCAATTTCTGAAAACATTTTCTGTGTTTATGGATGTGAATATTCCGAATTTCTCTTATAATCATCAATGTCAGTGTAATTTTCTTTGATTGGTCAAAAGAACACCAATACTTTGTTTCAGTCAGAAAATCTACATACGTAACTTTTTGAAAAAAAAAATATATATATTCTGTCCCTCCAGATTTCTTTGTGCTGAGCCAAAGATGCTGATTGGAAAAGGATAGCATTCATGGTGAGGGGACACTGACATTTATCATCATTCCATGCAAACTTGACTTTTTTTTTTTAATTTTCATTTTTTATTGATTGTTCAAAACATTACAGAGCTCATGATATATCATCTTTCATACATTTGACTCAATTGGGTTTTGAACTCCCCAAATACAAACTGCAGACTCACTTCTGTTACATACTCACATTTTTACATAATGGCATATTAGTGACTGTTGTATTCTGCTACCTTTCCTATCCCCTACTATCCCCCCTCCCCTCCCCTCCCCTCCCATCTTCCCTCTCTACCTCCTCTGCTGTTGTTCAATTCTCTCCCTTTTCCCCCCTCCCCCTTGCCCCTCATAACCTCTTATAATTTTGTGTATCACTGAAGGTCTCCTACCATTTCCATATGCTTTCCCTTCTCTCTCCCTTTCTCTCCCCCCATTCGTCTTAGTTTACTGTTAGTCTTTTCCTTGATACTTCTTTCAAGTTTAATACCAAAGGTTCTGAAGTGAACAATTTTTAATTTTTTATATTTGACATATCTTTTAGGTACCACTTAATTTTTTGAATTAAAATATTTGAAACAAAAATAAATAAATTTAATGACTGATGACTTCTACCTGATCCTCTCACTGCTTGTAAGACTCTTCTCAGAACACATATATTTATTTTGAATCTCTCTTTGGAAAGAAGAAATAGAAAATAGTAGGATTACACTGGTTTAAGAGCACGGAAGATTATGTCCTAAAAATACAGGGTCATATTTCTCCATTTATTTACTAGCCTCAAAACACAGGCAGAAGTCATGAGGTTACCTCAGACAGTGGGTAATGGAAGTGTTCTGCTCCACATCAACAGAAAGGTCAAGAAAATCTTCATCTTTGCTACTAACCTAAAGAAAGAAAAAAGAAAAAAATGCATTAGGCACAAAATACATTGTAGACACTGTAGCTTAAAACTCTGAACATGCACAGATAATCCAGCACCATCCCTGCAGTAAGAGTCCGCCCGTGGCTACACACATGCACTGGAAGCAGTAACCTCCCAAACCACCCAATCTAGAGAAAACTTAATTCTCAGGTCAACCTCATCTCTATCACAATTTTGATTCAAAATCTTCAAGAATTAAATCTCAACGAGATTTCTTCCTCTCCCGACGTCTGCCCCATTGTTTCAACATAGGAAGTATCAGACAAACATCCGAACAGCCTGCCCGGCAGAATGACGCAAGTGGAAAAAGGACAAAACCTGGAAAATTTACTTCGCAGAGAATCACCCTTCTTTAAGTTGTTTCACCTTTTGCCAGTCTCTTGAACTCACGCCCTGCCTCCCGTGCCTCACTGTTCAGGTTGTGGAGAGCCAGAGTAACCACACACACATACACACATACACATCGAGCTGTCCTCATTGTCTACAGAGCCCTGTGCTGTGTGTGTGAGGCTCAGCCCTGGAGCTGGCCTGGATCCCTGGCTCACGCGGAGCGCCATGCTGAGCCCTGCATGGGCCGAACCAGCTCACAGGCCCCAGCTGCTTCTCGGCCCTGCACGGGTCACACCACACCAGCTCTGGATCTCGTTCTTATTGAAGCTTTAGTGCTTATGTTCCACTCATTTGCCAACAACCCCGGGGTTTTACTGTCCTGTTCTTGGAGTGGGAGGGACAAGTGGGCTCAGCAAAACAACCTTCAAGTGCTCAGTCAACTGGCAACAGAATGGAAATTACACTTCCTCAAAGGCAACTCCACTATTACCACAAATTCTGGAATTTATCTAAGGAAATACTGACATTTGGAGGCACACCCTTTGGTACTTTTGTAAGTACGCACAAAAATGGACATTGAGACAGACTGCCCAGATCCACATCCTACCCCTGCCTCTTATGAAGTGAATATGATTTGGGGCCAGTTATTTAGCCTCTCTGTGCCTCAGCTTCCTCATCTGTAAAGTGGGGACAGTAGCAATATATACCTCATAAGGTCATTGTAAGGATGAAATCAGATAATTCATGTAAAGTACTCTAAAAAGTAAGCACTTAAGCCAGGCTTGGTGGGGCATATCTGCAATCCCAGCAACCTGAGAGGCTGAGGCAGGAGGAGTGCAAATTCAAGCCCATTTTAGGCAACTTAGTGAGAACCAGTCTCAAAATAAAAAATAAAAAGGGCTGGGGATATAGTTCACTGGTAGAGTGCACTGGGTTCAATCCCCAGTACCAGGGGCAAGGGTTAGGATGGGGAGGTAAGTACCCAATAAATGGAGGAGGGTAAAAAATTTTACATCACCTAAAATGGTCAAAAGGCTGAAAATGATTTACATGATGGTTACAATATTGAATGAAAAAGAAAGCTATACAATTACATGTTAGTTCCAATTTTTGTATTAAAGAGATGTGTGGGCTGGGGTTGTGGCTCAGCAGTAGATTGCTTGCCTAACACGCATGAGGCACTGGGTTTGATCCCCACAACCACATTAAAAAAAAAAAAAACTAAAAACAAAATAAAGGTATTGTGTCCATCCACAACTAAAAATAATTTTTTAAAAAGGACCTGTGTATGTTTATACACACACATCTATTCCCTTATGGCTCTCTATCACCCTTTAACTTTCTTAGGCACTTATTCCTGCAGTTGCAGAATTCATGGCCCCAAATCTTCACCACTGCCCATGTTGACTTCATTGCCACATGACTACAGATCACTCATTGAGAGGCGATTATGTGGCCCCATTCTTGATGCTGAGTGTGGCCATGTGACTTGCTGTGGTCAGTGGGGGTTTTACAAGACGTGTTATAAAGCAGAGACTGAAATGAGCATGTGTGAAACTGCTCTCTTGCACTTACACCATGGCCACAGATGGACAGAGAAGTCTTGGCTAGCCTGCTGTTCTCAAGGAGATGGAGACCCATGAAGAAGAGAGTCAGCTAAGGCACCCAGGACAAGCCCAACCTAGAGCAAGACCCTGGGGAACTGCAGAGTCATGAGTGAGCCCACTGACCCTCACACACACAAGTTCAGCCAAGTCCAGCCTAGAGCAGCCCTTAGTCAACCCACAGCTGTATGGGTTATAATAATAAATATAGTTTCATTTAAGCTTCAGAGTTTTGGGGGTGGTTTATAAGAAAGCAATAGAGAACTGATTTGATCACTTTACGTTATATGTATTTTTTTTGTTTGATTACTATCTGTCTCTCCCTTACATAAATGAAAAGTTCAAAAGACTGGCTTCAGTAATAACAAAGACCTTAGCACACCAAGACTCCTCCAGATAGGACACACTCAGATAACCATAAACTCAAGGCAGGCACCTGAAAGGGTTGGAGAATGAGCTGAAACAGCAGATGGCGACACATGCTCGGAGGAAGAAGGATGGCCCGAGTTTGTGGTTCCACACCTGGGACCTGGGATTTGTGGGGAGAAATGTCTTTCTGATCTGGGATCCAGAAGCCTAAATCTGAGAAATAACATCCACTGAAAAGAAGGGAAAGAGTCTGAGAGGGTATCACCAACTTTGCCCACATCTGATTGACCACTGAGCTACCCATCTGCGGCTCAGCATGGAGTACAAAGCAGCTCAGCTGAGGGACAGTCTGGTCCAAGATCTGAGCCATCCAATAAGTAGACTTTGTTGTCCATTTGTTGAGTCACGATAATTTCCAGACTTAATACTAAAGGCATTCAATACTCACGGAAGAAAAATAATAGAATCCAGAGTCTCTGTAATTTAACAGTCTCAATGTTCTAAAAAGGATCCAAACTTACAATATGCAAAGAACCAAGAAAACGGAAGAAATTCTTAACAGAAAATCAAGTGAGACCAATCCTAGAATGACCCAGATGTTGAAATTAGTAGATTCGGATTGTAAAGAAGCTATTATAACTACCTTTGGTAAAGTAAAAGAAAATACATGCATGATGAATCAAAAACTATAACATCCTGGAAGAAAAACAGAAACAATAAAAAAAAAAAGAATCAAATGGAAATTCCAGAACTGGAAAACACAATGGATCAACTTAAGAACAAATTGGAAATGACAGAGGAAAGAGCAAGTGAACTAAAAGACAGATCAATCGAAATTATCTACTAAAAGAGAGAAAAAAAATTGCAGTAAAAATTAGCAAATACTCAGGGCCTTTTTTATAATATCATACATACAAACAGAATCCTAGAAGAGAAGAAAAGAATAATACAGGAAAACCATTTGAAAAAATAATGGCTATACATTTCCCAAATTTGATGAAATACATATATTACTAGATTCAACATACTCCAGAAAAATACAAAAATATATACAAGATACATACAAAGAAGGCCACCAGGAAATATCAGAGGCACATTGTTGAAATCCAAAGATAAAAAGCAAATCTTAACCATCAAGAAAAAAAGGGCGGGCTGGGGTTGTGGCTCGAGTGGTAATGCGCTTGCCTGGCATGCGCAGGGCGCTGGGTTCAATCCTCAGCACCACATACAAATAAAATAAAGATGTTGTGTCCACCAAAACTGAAAAATAAATATTAAAAAAAAAAAAAGAAAAAAGGGGCAACTTCACAGAAGAGAGTGATTCAATTAGCAGCTGACCTCTCAGAACCATGGCGGCCAGAAGAGTTTGAAGGATACCTTTAATACCATCTTCTATATCCCACTAACAAATTCTTCAAGAATGAAGGCACAAAGAAAGAACTCGTTATTGACAATTTCTGCACTATAAGAAAAATTAAAGGAAGTTCTTCAGCCAAAGAAACTCAGATCCTCAAAAGGAAACAAAGAGGCAAGGGGCAGCGGTGCATACCTATGATCCCAGCAAATCCAGAGGCTAAGGCAGGAGGATTGCAAGTTCAAGGCCAGCTTCAGCAAATTAGCAAGGATCTAAGAAACTTAGAGATCCTAAATCAAAATAAAAATTAGAAAGGGGTGGGACATGGCTCAGTGGTTAAGCGCCCTGGCTTCAATTCCCAGCAATAGGCGGTAGGGGATGGAGAGGAGTGATAAAGAGCATCAAAATGGTAAAAACATGTGTGAACACAAAAGATATGAATTTTCTGTTTTTGTTTGTTTGGGGGGGGCGCTGGGGGCTTTTTCCTCTTATACCACTTTTTTAATAAAAATTTTTAAAGAAAAAATTATTGTCCTGTGGAGTTCATACCATACACAAATATAATACGTATAACTATATAACATAAAGAACAAGGGAAGGTGAGGGCAGAGGGAATAGGACCTACACTACACATTTACAAACCTTCTATACTTTATGTGGAAATAGAAGCATTATGAACTGCAGACTGTGAAAAATGTGGAATGTAATCTCTAACACAACCACTAAACTTACACATGTGCACACTCACAGGTAATACTGAAAACAAAGGCAAAGAGAAAAATTAATAAGGAATTGTAAAATATATGTATATGTATGTGTACACACACACACATATTCCAATAATCCAGAAATAAAAAGAGAAAAAAAATCCAAGAGAACACACAGAAAACAAATAATAAAATGGTAGCCCCACACCTAAATATGTCAATAATTATAGCAAATATTAATGAACTAAAAATTCCAAATAAAAGAAATAAGCTGATGAATTGATTTAACAAAAAAAGCTAGACCCATTATATGCTGTCTACAAGAGCTAAACTTTAAATATAAAAATACAGATTGAAAATAAATGGTTAGGAAAAAAATACTATGTAAATAATTAGAATAAGTATGGAGAGGGGTTATATTATTATCAAGTAAAATAGATTTTAAGACAAAATTACTATGAGAATAAAAGAAAACATTTCCTAATGACAAAAGGGTCAATTTATTATCAGAATATACCAATCAAATATGAAGGCTCCTCACAACAGAGCCTAAAAAATACATGAAGCTCAACTGTATTCAACAATAAAAAGGAAAGAA